ATATAAAAAACAGAAACTGCAGAAGCGTATTTTAAGTGCAATTTAAATGAAATTATTAACATGGACATAACAATCTTTAAAATACAAAAACACCATGTGTTAAAATTACAGCACAATTTTACTAAAGGTTGACACGAATATTGAACCAATGTCCAGCCTTGATTGAACTGGTGGAGCTTTGTGTTTTACAGACCTGTACAGAGGTCCAGGAGGTTTCTGACTTTATCCAAATCAATTCCACATTCCTCTCTCTCCCCCTGCATCAGCTCCAACTCAGCTTTCATCACCAGCAGCTCAGCACATCTAAAACAAACAAACAAACAAAAGAGTAAAGACAAGAGCCATGTCCATCAAAAAAATTAAGTTTGTAATGTGACCACATATGCTATTATGTATTGTGCTGCATATTTATATTGTGCTGTGTTCTAGGCCTATTCTAAAGTAGGGATGAGCATTTTAAGTAATTTCTGTATTAAAATACTCGCTAAGAAGCAATCTGCGTAAACAATATATAGAAAAGGGTCCGAGATGAACCAAGCGAAAATGTTAGTAGGGGTTTGGGTTAGCATTCCTTTGTGCGCTGCACAGACTGTACACATTAACTATGATGAGCAAATTTTACGTTACATAACTTGCACTGCACATTCACTTTGTGTATTTTGGAGAAATACTTCCAAATATCACTCTTATGCCTGTCGCCATTCTGCCTAAAATTTTAGTGTGATTTTCAGACCACACTTGACATCTGAGTATTAATAGCTAGATGTTTAATATATAAATATATAATGTTCAATGTTATCTGTGACTGTGCAGATCCATCATTTGTGCAATATGGATCTGTGCAGATATTCACAGACAGCAGTCACATCCAAAATTGTTAACTTTCAATATAAAGCAGTTCAGCAACACAAGTACAAAGTACATCCTATTAAAGTTAATTCAGCACCTAATGATAATTTATGACAGGGCTGTTCAATTGGATTGCAGCGGACTGTTCGCTGTTGGCATATAAAATTTAGGGGTTTTTTTAACCAGCGAGAGAACTATTCTGTATATAGTGTATTTTACCAGGTTAAAGTGGCCCAGGTAAAATCTTCAGGTCCAATAAATATGTTTAAACACTATATCAAGCATTACAGCACAACAAAAAAACTCAGAAGGAACAGGCCGTGACCGGCCAGTGGGTTCAGCATCATACATTACAGAAAACAATATTCAAAGGAAAACTTGACCCACAAAGTGACACAATGACCTTAAAGTTGTGAAGAAAACATGTTGCTTGCATGTCTCCACGGAAAATGGCGAATATATTGATTTATTGGGGTTCAGTTTTAACAACAGCAAAACTACATCAACACATCCATTTACAAACTCTCTGACAACTCGTGCAGTACAATCCAAGTCTGTAAGTTTGTGAACGGAATTTTGCTTTTGTTGTAGGTGGTCCCAAATGAATCAATAAATCAATATTTATTGTCATTTTCCAGGCAGGCATGTGCAAAAAGCAAAGTTTTCTTCACAAATTTAAGTTAACACCTCATGTCTAACTTGATTTACAAATGGTCATTTCATGGGTGGAGTGCTCCTTTAATAATGTACAGTATAAGCTATTAATATCAGGACACAAGCTATCTTTTGGACCCTGTTTCATTATTTAAATTTTAACCCACTACAATGCATATATACATACTGGCTGAGTGCTTGCAGCTTAATGCCCAGTTTGAGAGCTTCGAGACACTGGAGCCTGGCATCATTGATGGCACCACAGCTGCTCCTCACAGCCACCATCTTCACAGAGCAGTTTAACAGCTCTGAGAGCAGCTGCCACTTCAGCACCAAGTTATCTCCTGCTCATAGATAAAGGGAGAGAGGGAAAGAATCAATATGTCAGACAGCACTGAGAGAAACATCAATAAGATATTAGGAGTTTTCCATGTATTGTTAGTCCATGTGTGGGAAGAACATACCTTGGTCTATGAAGCGCATGTCTGAGCTGCTGCCGTTAGATCCATAAAGGCCCTTCCCCACTAAAGTGACCAGCAGGCTGCAGAGAAGCTTCAGACTTTCATACAAGGCAGCGTCCGGGCTATTTATACCTGAGGCACAATCGTAGGTGCTTACTTAGTTAAAGCTGCAAACCTCTGCTCTACATCCTTAAAATGCAATATTAAATCAGAAAACCATATAAACTGTAGAAAATGCTTTCACAAACCATGCTGTGTGATCTGGCTCCGCTGGGTTTGTGGCAGCGCAGCTGTGTCCAAACTCAGATAGGAGCTGCAGGTTTGGAGCATCCGAGCACGCAGCAGGTACCAGCTCTTTGACTGCCGCTGCTCGGTCACTTCTTTGACCACCTCACACAGATAAGGCACTCCACGATCCATCTGACATACGGTCAAACAGTAAAGGGGCAATTTATAAATCAAACCAAAAAACACCTATGCCAGCAAGAAAAACAATAACAATGCAGTAATATGAGAAATTCTGCATGCAGACAATGTTAGCTACCTGTCCTGTGCTGTAGCAGTACTGAGCTTTCAACAGAATAGTCAGCATAGACAGAGAAGATGGTCCATCAGCAGCGGAGGTTACAGAGGTAAGAAACTTCTCTGCCTGCTCCAACTGGGCCTTAAAAAAGCACCATAAACAAAGTGAGATACTGTATATAAAATGAGATATAGTATGTATGATACAAGATATTATTTCAAAACTGCATTACCAAAGCCAGGTCAGGGGTGCCCAGATCCAGGAGGAGGCTGGCTGATTGACAGAGGGAGCTGGCACATCCGTGGGCATCAGCAAGATGACGTGAGAGTCCAGTCGCAAGTTGGTAAGCTTCCAAAGCCTTTAGAGGCTACATAAGAGAGATATAATAAATACACAGAAGCTGTAATTACTAATCATGTGAACACTAGTTATAACAGCTTGACACCAGAATACACCATAAAACACCCCTTACACACCTAAGTCTTTCGTACAGTACAACTTCTGATGTGTATCTCTAATTCCTATAATGCTTCATGAATTGTGTGAGGGGCTAAAAACCAATTTGGTGTTGAAAAGAGAAACTAAAATCAACCAGAAGAGAGCCTACAGAATGATTTTGACAACATTCTGTGTCGTTACCTTTCCCATGAGTTTGAAGAGAGCTGCAGCCACAGTGATGGAGCTGCAGGTCTGTTTGGGGTTTCGGACAGATGGCAGGCCTCGACTCTGCAGAAGAGCAGACCACTCATCCAGTGCTCTTTCCAAAGGCTTGCACAACTCTTCAAGGAAATAAAAAATTATGTTTATTAATCTCTCAAAGAAACAGGAAGTGATGAACAATTATCTATGTTTGATTAGACCCACGATAGAACTTGGTGGAGATGCAGATTATGATATCATATCATCCACAGTGGGATGATTGAAGATATGAAAAAACAGTTCTTACTGTTCTCTGCAGCCAGACTGAAATGCAGGCCTTCATAGACCTGGATGCTGTCTTGTGTCTTCTGTTTGTCTTCGTAATCAAAGTCATTGGTTCCTATGGGATTGACTGCACAGCGGGTTTGCTCACGCAACTCTCGCCGTTTGTTGTCTCTTTCAATGGCCTGACCAAAAACACAAGCATCATTAAATCACAGGACACGCGGTGAGTGCATCAAACTAAAGCTGCGGTCGAGTAGTCCAAAAAAAACAATTAAAAAAAAAATCCCAACATCTTTTCCTAAACACTCCGTCTTGACCTCAGTGGGAAAGCTTTTTAGGAGAATTCTTGAGGAAATGGAAATACATCTGTACTGGAAAGAGAAGCTGACTGCAATTACACAATAGGCTCTGTAATTAAGTGACAGCAGATGTTATTGACGTGGGTCAATACTTGTTAACACTGACACTTGAATTAAAACATGACAACATGCACATGATATCCTGACAGATCCAATGGAGCTCACCTCTTGAAGATTCTTCTCAAGAGTGCAGATGTAGAGCCAAAGTAAAACATGGGCCTTGTCATCCTTCAGCCTGTCAGCGTTCTCTGGAGTCTCTGGTTCTTCCTCAAGTAGCCGCAAAGCTTCATGGGTAAAATCAACTGCAGCACTGCACAGTTAAAAATGAACATAATGAATACTGAGACAGTTGGATGCTGCCTATGTTAGCCTAGCAGGGCTCCAGACTAGTAATTTAAATTGTTGGCCCCCAACTTTTCCATGCACACAATTAAGTCGCACACAAAACAGTTTAATTATCAAGGAGCACCACTAATTAGAAATGATGTCAGCAAAAGCTCCTACCAGTCTGTCTGTTCACTGAAATCCTGGTAACACACGACTTGGGCCATTTCACAGAGGTAGACAGCACGTAGATGCGTGTGGGAGCTCTCCTCATGGCAGATGTCCAGCAGATCACAGAGTGTGTTGTAACGCTCCTGGGCCGTGTCTCCTGCCACCTCCTTATAGGCACGCAGCTCTTCCTCCAAAAGGCAAAGCATTACTTGCTCATCTGGGACGTCAGGACCGAAACCATCACGCAATGTCCTGTTGCAGGATGGGACAGATGTAAGTTTCCTTTCCATTAATTACCTTCTCTGGGGTTTGACAACCAACAAAAAAGTTCTGTCATTACAATTTGTCTGTACCTGAGACGGATGTCTTCTTCTGAGTTACGGGCAGCGTCAGTCTTTGTTTTCACCCACAGAGAGACTGGTTCAGCCATATGAGTGGTGATGCTGTCGTCCAGAGCCTTCAGCCACAGGATCACCCAGTCCAGCGCTCGCTCCAGTTGTCCAGCCCGCCGAGACGTCTGCACGGCCAGCATGAAGGGTCGGCTCAACTAGAGGGTCGAAAGCCATGTTAATAATAAAGATAACTATAAAAATTAACATACATATATATTTACTAATTTTCCCCAAGATCATTTGGGTTTACTTCTATCTAAACACAACCTATTTAAAACCAGGAGGCACTCATGACATATAGTGTGTAAGACAGACAATGTGGTGCACAATCAAACAAAAACATACTTAAAGAGCTTACCCTATCAACTGACAGCGAGGCGGGGCAATTCTTGCACAGATCCCTGCAGAGGATCTCAACCAGTGTGAAGGCCTGGTCATAGAGACGCCGATTGTAAAATCCACACGCTAAGTTGCTCACAGCAATCACTGCAGGAAACACATAAAATCAACAAGATGTCATAACAATATAACACAGGTTTCCTACACGTTTTCCATTTCAAAATTCCATACTTTTCCAGATTTAAATTTCCAGACCACATTTGACATCTAAGACAAATAGCTACATGTTTAATATATAAATAAATGTTCTTTAAATCCAACCGTTAACATTTGTGTGACACTCTGAAGATGAGTGCTCTTATGTTGCCAAATACTTGCCAGAAGATTTTACCCAGATACTGTAGCTTTTCATATTGAAAATTTTTTTTATTATTGCTTCCTCCATACTTTTTAGTCTCTTTTATAAATAACAGTCGAAAATCAGCTGAAAGAAGTTAAACAATCAAATTTCACTGCATCTGTGCAGCCTTGTTTATTCACTTTGTCCATGGAAATGACAGTAAAAGCAGCCATAAAGTTTCTTTTCACATAAAAGATAGTCTGTTTAGTTACCTGATAACTACATCAATGAATAACTCATAAATGTTAAAACAAGCTTAATATTTGGTCATTTGTGATGCTATGGATATTTGCAATTTAAAGATAGCCTATTGCCACATTTTCGTTTTTTTGAATTGTATATTGTAGAAAACAGAATAGGGGCAATAGTCTGATAACACAAACATTTTTCCATACTCTCCCTACATAGCCAGACCTGGAAATTAATACAATCAGATTCAATACTTTTCTCTACTGTGTAGGAAGCAGGTAAAATAATAAATCATTAAGTATATATGGATTGCAATATCAGTAATAATTTCAGAACAACTAAATTGACCTGACAACATTAATAATGTAAGAATATAATCACCAGCTTTGACGAGAAGGCTTTCACTTGACAATTTACGCAGTTCAGTCATCATCAGTCCAGCCGTGGCTTGGCAGTACAGCAGCACTCTGTCCAGTGTGTCACTGTTCTCCAGCTGTGAACAACAAATCACAATCAGTACTTAAACTTAAATTACTATCATTACTGTTGTCATCATGAAATAGAGCATTAATGAAAGAGCTTTACCTGTGATGCGAGCATGCTCTCATAAGCAAAAGCGAAGCCTTGGTAAATGCTGAAGCAGAGGGCCTGTTGCAGTTTGCTGCCCTCAGCCTGGCATGTCGAATTCTGTAAAGAAAGCAAAGCACTGGTTAGCAATTTCAAGAAAGTAAATGTATTCTCTGAATGCGTTTTTGAGAGTAACTAAGAAACAAATCCAACAGTATTCTAAAAAGAGCTCATTTCCTGGTTAGTAAACTACCCTCACCTTCTTTTGCATCTTTAATATCCGTTCCTGGTGCTCCTCAAGGAAAGAAAACCAAGCCAGGAGCACTGGTCCGCTTAATCCCTTGTTGTGGCCACTTTCGAGAGCCCACACCACCAGTCCACAACCTTGTAGGACTGCATGAGCTTCTCTGTCCCCCAGGTCAGCTGAAAGAGACCTCAAGGCCCTGGCACACTCTGTCAAAGCCTGGCCAGTCTCCCCGCCAGCCTTCATCGCAGAATGAACCTTGACTGCCCATTTGCCGAGCACCACAGCAGTACACTGACAGTCAGCACAGTCTCTGAACTTGCTCTCAATTTCATTCAAGAAGGTGGAGGCCAGATCATAGTGGCCGGCCCTACAGAGCACCTTCACTGCAACAAGCGCTATTTCAGAAAGCGTGTATAAACTTGACTTCTCAGTTGACTGCTTGGACCCGTCCCCCTCACAGCCTTGACCACCTGTCCAGCATCTGCTGAAAAGTGTGTGCATTTCCTGGAGAAGAAAAGAAGCATCATCCTTGTTTACCGCTTCACAGCTACTCTCAAATTCAGTGATGGCATCCTCTGCATATATAGGAGCTTTGGAGAATGAGGTGGTTGCATTTTCTGTGTCCATCAACAGGAGGAAACTCAGAGCTTGCATCTGGCAGTGGAGTCTATCGCAGGGGTTCAGGATTTTCCTGTCTTTGGTAGCAGATAGTCCGTTCCAGAGCACTGAGAAGCAGCTCCGCACAAGAACATAGTAGTCCTCACCCTATGGACCATACAACAGCAGTAACCTGGTTAATGCCGACACTGAAAAAGCAATCATGCAGTACAGATGTGGAGTATACAACACATGTTAATGATCTAAAAATAGGAAGTGACACATACCTGTTGGGCTGGGGTGAGCCTGCTGTAAAGCAACCCAGCTACATGACTACACAGACTGTGAGCTTCGAGGGAGCTCAGCTTCTTGGCAATATGGAAAATGATCTTTTCCATGTAGAGAGGACTGCTCTGAGCAACAAGTGCTGCGGAAATATCATAGCCCTGAAGGGAAAGCTCCACCAGCTGTACCAACTGACTGACATGGTCAAAATTTGGGGATCCAGCTCCAAGTTGATGGTTACAGGCTCTGATGATCCTGTCACACAGTGTGCGACCCTGAAGGCCTGGCAGACTCTTCACATAATCCTGCAAAAGATATATTAAGGCAGGTTTAGATCCTCTTTTAAAAGTCAGATTTATGGTGAATTGTAATGTGTTTTGCATTTTTGTACACAAAAACATGCCTCAGTCTAATACAGCACATGGATCTAGGCTCATATGGAGGTATTCAATCGTGGTTTAATCTTGTCTCATAGCTACAGCTTCTTAAAGACTAACGTTAGTGGAATAACTTGTAACGTTACGAGGAAAACAAGTGATTCATCTTGACAGTTGTGATTATGTTTACCTGTAGTTCTTCAAGTAGAAGCTTCGTCTCTTTCACAGAGGCAGTCCGCTTGATGTATTCGTCCACTTTCAAACACTTCATGTCGGCAGCTGTTGAAAACACGGTATTTAGGGGTAAAGTATGTTAATTTAAAACCTCCATGAAGGAGCTTAGCTAGGCTAACGTTAGCATCACACGTAACGTTTACCACAACACGCCGCTGTTAAACTAACGTTAACGTTTGCTAACTTCACCAAGAGAGTAACTTACTTCCGTTGTAGCGACACTTTCATTCACAGCGGATAAAAAGCAGACATATTGTCCATAATGAAGCAGCGGTAGGTTGCTGCTAAAGTTGTGAGTTTAAAGATTCAAATCTTCATGGAAACTACAGCTCGCCCCGCGCACTGGTTTTGAAAGGTGTTCGCTAACCAATCCGACACCACATCCGCTTTCTCCCGGAAACGCAAGGACTTGTGGGTATCGTGGTTTTATAATCTTGCTCAACCCAATGATACATAACATAAAAACCAAAAGAAGAGTAAGATTCACAAGTTTATTGAGTTGTCAAACGATTAAATACATGAATAAACAAATAAATAAAATGTTTGATTCCATGACTGACATGAGTTTGTAAAACACATTTGTAAAAAAAAAAAAAGAAAAAAAAAAAAAAGTGAGTGGAATAATTTTTGGATTTAGATTTTTGGTTGAAACATATCCATCAGATTCCTAGATTCCTCATTTCAATTTTTTTTTCAGAGTAGTGTCTCTTTGCACTGGGTGACAATTGCCATACTGCAGCTATGTGGCTATATACACCAATGCCTACTATTTGGCTATTTACTACCATCCTACAAGGCGTTATTGTGAATCACATTACGTGCTGTGGTTGGCTAGTCTGTATCACATCGACATGTTCGAAGGTGGCTAGGGTTAGGGCAAAACAGCTCAGGTTAGGGCTGATAATAATCAATCTTGGATATTATCTGAAATTAAAGTGCTAAATTAATGTGGAAAAAAACTCTAAAATGTACTGCCAGAAAGTCAGGTGGTGTAGTATAAAAAGCAACACAGCCTGTGGGGGAAGTAAAGAGAGGAGGGGAAGGTATGAGCAGCAGAAGGAGGAAAGCTGAGCAAACGTGATAGGATTTAATTTTGGCAGATTAGCTTAACTGTGCTTTGACGGTAACATCATGTCATCTGCCTCACATGGAGAGATTGGGAGTGAAATAGAGCGGATTGAATCTTGGGCAACGAGGCTAAAAATAGCTAAAAGAGGAAGAGAGAGACTACCAAGAGTGAAAAGTTGGTCTGATGATAGTGCGAAATGTGAAATTAAAAACTGTGCTCAGTGTTCCTATGTGCCCCTTGGTCCCTCTCTGCCTGTACTCCTTTAATTAGAAACACTATACATCCATGTCCTTGTAGTGCAGTGTGCTGCACAGAGGGGCATTGTTAGCTGTGAACCTGTTGCAGCTGTAGAGACTTGCTGGTAACTGAACATGTCTCCTACTGAGCCGTACCATGAAGTCAGATGGCTTTGATCAGCTTGTGATTCCTGAGGTTGTCTCTGCAGTGCTCTCCACTCTGTGCTCCAGTGGACAGAGCAGATCACTCAATCTCCACTCAGCCCAGTGGAAGTGTCTTATCAATGTTATCAAGAGACACCTTATTAACCTCAGACGGACGTGGCTTGGCCTCAGCATAGAGAGACATCTTTCTTTCAGGTCTCCTGGTCTTCCTTTAGTGCCAATCTGTGATTCATTGGAGCAGGTTCCAGAAAAGTATTGTTTTAACCTGAGCTGATCAAAGTTTGTGGTGCACCACATCAAGCTTCACCTCAGGCCATAAATTATGATGTGTGATGGAAAAGAAGTCACAAAGCATCAGAATACAGACTGGGAAAGCCCTGCAGGTGGCAACTGCACATTGGCACTGTTTAGTTGTGTTGCTCTGTGCTTGTTTCTTTTTTCATGAATCCTGAACAGTGAGTCTACATCCCCATCTACTGGTGAAAGTACAGGCAGACCAAGGCCTCACACCACCCAATACACCCCTCTATTAAAGGCAAGGTAAGTTTTAAAGTCTATGAATACTCATTTATATTACTCTCAGTATAGCAACATTTAAATATAGACATTTTGCCCCACCGTAAGTCTGAGCAGTCCTTATCTTAACTGTTTTTTATCACCTATTCCACTGCTACATTTATTGTGTGTTACACCCTCCAACATTCCCACCCGGAAAGTGTGTGTGCTTTGCGACCTCCCAACAGATAGCCTTTCAGATGGAAAGTAGGGTGGGTGAATCTCTCACAAATCACCATAAAAATAAACACCAGAGTTCGACTGATACGAGGGTTTAGAAGTTAATAATTGTTACAGATTAGGCTGAAGCTACTGGGTGACAAATTAATGGACAGAAATTGAAATCTCCTATAGGTGTTCAGATGGGTTGATATCTGATGAGTGTGAAGACAATAATATGATTCACATCTCTGTCATACTCACCAAACTCTTGACCCCTCATACCCTTTAGTAGTTATTTTCCTCCATTAATTTTTCCAGGTTACCCTTTAATTTATAACTCATCTGTAGGTGTTCCAGTGGTAAGTATGGCACCTGAACTGTACTTTCGTCAAGGTATAAAAAAGCCACTAGAAGACACAAGACTTTTCATTGACTTTTCAATATTCATTGAATCCATACACTTATATCATTCATCTCATTCATATCTGATGCCCAAAGGCCTCCAACTGGTCACTCATTTGCAGTGACACAGTATCACCTCAGAAAGTTGATATGGCTAATGTGTTAGCAAATAACTACCTATTTACACACCCAGCAGACGCGGAGCAACACTGGCCTTCCAGTAGATTTGTGTTTCTGTCCATCTGATGAATGTAGGAACAATATCCACTCTCCTATTAGCTCTATTTTGGTCTCCACCAAGTCCTGAAGAAAGTTATCAAACTTTTTAGCAGTAAAATGCTCCAATGTAGTACCAGCTAGCTGATAACTTTGTACACAGTACTGACTGAAATACCTAAAATCATAGCTGTTAAGGTCTTACCTACATTTTAATATCTCCAGTGACTCAGTGACAGTGTGTCCACTACAATACATCTGAAATACCAGCAGGAGTGGAACATGATGAGGTTACGTACATCCACTATTTTATTTATCTCAAGAGCAAACAAAAAATATTCCTTATGGTCCACTGTGTTTTATGTGATTGGACACTTTGTTTAGGAAACTGCTCAACCAGTACAGCAGTGACACTGGTCTGCACTGGGTGGCCTCTTTCCTCTCTGCTGAACACATCCGGCTATTGAGGTGGCATCCCACACATTAGGGTGTGATCTCTGCTTATCTGTCTCAACTTCAAAGGGTTATCAAGACAACTAAATATATGTGATTAGGTCCCACTGTAACATGAGAACAACCAGACCTCTAGTCACATTATTCCGCTAACGCCTAAATGCAGGATTACAGGTTTTCACCACATCTAGTTTTGCTGCACAGTTTTCACAGGGAAGTACAAACACTTGTAACTTGGGGATATTTATTCAGTATGTTTTAGCTTATTCTGCAAATCAGAAAATCCACTGATATCTAGAATGTAGAGCAGAGTTTCTCTAAAATGACAGAGACAAATTTGCAGTTTCAAGGTTTTGGTGTTACTAAAAACCCATCATCAGGAGCAGGTAGGTGTCAGCTAATACAGGTGTGCCAGCTGAGTGTTCAGCTGCATGAAATAGACTGATGATGTCACAGGTCTTCACTGTTTGTAAGATCGACACATTCACCACCCGACATTCTAAACACCATGTAACCAACCTGAATTTTAAAAAAGCTTGAAGACCATTGGTTGTTGAAGGTTGAGATCTGCTACTTGTGGCATGGTGGAAATTAACAACAAGTACATGTTAGAATGTAAAAATAATAAGTACATCTACTTAAGACCAAAATCAATGCCTCTTCTCCTCTTAGCTAACTCAAAAGCGAATTTGTGTATTTCCAAAAATGTTCCAAACTATTTTACATGAACACATAATAAGGACCAACTTTAGCCTATAGCCTGTGATACATTTTTCTAGATTCAACTACCTTACAATATACTGATGAGTTTAAATTAATAAACCTTCTTCACAGCAAACAGGGAAAGGCAGGTGTAACTGACAACAATAAAAATGACTGCATTCCATTTAAGTGAGCTACTTCCAGGGTCCTCCTGTTATTGTACATGATGATTCTACGTCATGACTTGATGGAACAAATTTGGTTCACATGTGTGTTTCCTGCTATGACAACTTAAAATGTCAGCTGTGAAAAGGTCTCTTCCCCTTGACCACTACAGCTTACATGTAAATGTGTCAGTAATACAATAACAATTGTAGAATTAAAATTAATTGTAATGGAGTATTTTTACATTGTGGCATTGTTAGCTTTCTCTTATGTGAAAGATCTTAATACTTCTGATATAAGATCTCCATAGAGTCCAAACTGAATGTGTAGTTACAGTAGCAAATGTCTTATCTATCTGTGTTAAATGTGTCAAACAGCATATTATTTTTTATTGTCTTTTAGTCTTGAAGACAACAGGGTGTCAAAAAAACAACTAAATCGCATTTAATCTATCAGCCTCTGGTGTCAGGATTAGAAATATTTATCAGTCTCAACTCATTCTTGTTCCCAGGCCAGAGTTATACTTCAGTGTTAAATCTACACCATACCTACGACATAGCCTCTGCAAAGGTGAGTACCCTACACCTTGACCTGATGTGCACCTCCCTGAAAATGTAACTACACATTGCAGAGAGGCAGACCTCCTGTTTATTTTTGCTAAAACTAAAAACCATTTCCTTAAGTGGAAAGTGTTTTTTGAGTGATTTATCCTGGCTTCATATGAGTCACGCTTTTCTCATGCACTATCCGTACGTGTACCTATGAAAAGTAATGTACCCCAATTTTAATATAACCCACGTAATCATGAGTCAGTAATTTATGTTTATCTGATGTAATCGTGAAGGCTGTGATCATGTGACCAATATGCTGACAAGAGTAAAGAAGGAAGTAGTACAAAGACCAAAGTCCCTGTAAAGAGGCGGGTTGGGTTAGCGGGTGGTTCAAACAACACAGGACTTTCCCCCTGGAGACCACTGTCTGGGTCCTGTATGAAACCAGGATTACTTTGAAGTATTTTAAGGTGTGTCATCACCATGTTTCTTTTCCTAAACCTAACCAACGTAACTTTACTTGTCTAAACCTAACCTACATAACTTCATATTAAGTACGTAACAGCATTTGTCATATGCTAATTGCTAATTGCATGCATGTGTGTGCATTTTCCTAAGATATCATTTGAACCGTTGTAGGAAGATACGTTGTATG